CACATTATTCACAGTTTCTGTGCCAGGCCTGAAAAGAAGCCCACCTGCATATACTTTCTACACATGAGGAAAAAGCAATCCCTTCTTTCAGATGCAGTGCTGAAACTGTGAAGAATAAAATGACAGAGAAGAGGCAAACCTAAATGCTCCCCATTAAGCATGTTCATAGCATCAGCATTTATAACACCTGAACAGGACTTTTATCCCAGGTGTGGTATCTGTACCACCATCAGAGTCACCTTCAATTACAGCTATACTCTCCATTTCCACAATAAAATAGCACTCATGGGAAATGGAATGCATGAAAGGGCTTTTGAAAAATCCTTCTCATACTAGATCCTCAAATGGATTCCTCTACAACCTCTACCAGTTTAACCAAACCAAACTCATTGTTTTATTACTGAACAGTTCTTCCATTGTCAAATTCAGTTCAGCCCTTAAACACCGGGTACTTCCAGATTAGTTTTGTGGTACAATTACCATGTCTCATACACTGAACTTTATGTGTGGCCCAGATGTTCTTCTCTTTCACATGTAAACCTCGTGTGTCTCTCCAAAGCGTCTTCCATGTTTTACTCCTCACAGGCCAAAGGGGGTGAGGCGGGAGAACAGAATAGCTGCATAATGCTTTTTGATCAGTAACATCAGGAGCCTGCTGTATGCAGGTACCCACTCTTAATATCCTAGTTGATGCAGATAATCAGAACTGAAGAAAGGCATGGTCGCTGAAGCCAGTAGGTTTTGGAAGCAAAGGGTTCGTAACAAAGAGGATAGTTTGGTCAAGAGCGAGCAGAAGAGAGAGAGGGTGAGGGATGAGAGCAGGAATGGAGGACACAAGAGAGGTAGGAGACTGGGAGGAGTTCTGGCTGGTGCTGATGAAAATGCTTGGATCTGGGAAGCCTGAGCTTGTCTGGCTGGGATTCAGGTTACCCATGTTTGCTGCTGCATTTCTGTAGCAATCTATACATTCGTAACTCTAAGACATTTCTAAAAAACAAAACACTGTGAGTCTCCAGGGCTTTGTTCTTCACCAGCAATAGCTACTGTACACTCTGGAGACCAGTATAATATGTTCTTCCTGGAGGGCCAGACACACATTAGACAAGCTTCAAATTCATCCCAACAGTGATTTCTATCTTGCATCATTCATGTATCACCTCATTCCCAAACAGAGGATTTCCTGTTGGCCTGTTACACACAACAAAAACTGTTAAGCATTTTGTATTGCTTACAATTGGTAATGGTACCGGATTGTTTATAATTCATGTAGCTTTAACTTCTCATATGTGGCTAAACTGAAGGGTGATTTACATCATAGCCTATTTTATGTATTATTTCTTTTGCTTTGAAGTTATGCTTTCTTTTAAACATCGCCCACAGTGTCATCTCTGTGGAACTGATAGCCTGAACAAATTCAGTATGTATCACAGTGCTTGCTCTGCCCAGCCTCTGCAATTTCTGAGTACTGCTCAAAATACTGTACACAAATTTCAAAAAGTTGTGCTGTCCTACCTTGTCTAAGCTAGAAGCCAGACACTTTGCTTCAGAAATGGTATAAAATATCATTAAGGCCTGGCACTCAGCAGTAAACATATGCCTTAAAAGGTGTGCTAAAGTGCCTTTTAAAAATATAGTTGGACATATTTTTCTTTCTTTTTTGTTTGTTTACTTCAGAGAGAAAGTCACAGAAGCCCAGTGTTTCTCCAGCTCTGAGGTTATTACAGGAAACTGGTTTCCTTATAAATAAGGAAAAATAAAGTTTCAGAAGACTACAACTTTGCCAATTTACTTTTTTTCCACTGGAGAAAAATTCAATGAGGATTTTTTTTCACGTCACAGGTTTAAACATACTAATAAAATCCTGATCAATAGAACTACCTAAAAAGGAACTTAGGGTTTTCTTTTCTCCTCTGAAGTGATGGTGGTAGTATCAAGACTAACAGGAGGGTGGAGGGCTAAAGCAGGTGAGGGAGTAGTATTTGATTAAATTGGTTCATGGTAAACCACAGTTCTTGATAACCATGAAAGGAATGGAGGAGCAGGGGGTGGAATTCATACATGTATACAACACAGCAGATCATCAAGACATGGGCTAGTAATCACAGAATGTACAGTGTCTTCAATGAGCCATGGTGTCTTGTAGTAACTACATCTGCTTTGCTGCTGCTTCTTTACTTGGTTTGCACATTTTTGGCTACTGTTACTTAGCTCCTACATCAATCACAAGGTGTAAATCTGTCTCATTTTTTTCTTTTAGCTAAATTCTATTTCCCCATTGCAGAGAAACAAAAATACATAGGCACAGTAAGGAAACTAGCAAATACAAACTTTTATCAGGATATAATCAAACAAAATGAAAGGTAATTTTCGTTTTTAAATCAATGGAGACAACTTAAAGTAGCCCACACTTTGCTTCAGGATAAACTCCACTTCTACAAATTTAGGCATTATCTCATTGAAACATTCTCACTAGGAAGGTTGCTAACTCAAATGTGAAACCAGAGAACACAGCAAACCTGCCTTGTTGTCGTATCAACTAACTCTATGGTAACTAGATTTTATTTTAAAACAAATCAGAATGATTACCAAACTCAGTCAATCAATCTACCAAATATCTAGTTTTTCATTAGAAGCCAACAGCAATATATTAACAGAGGGATTTTAAAATCCATGAGGTCACTAGGAGATGGTGGTTGACAATTACCACTAAATTATGTAAGGGATGGTGAGGATCTGCTCCTCCAGGTGCTGTTGGACTGGAACTCCCATCATCTCCAAGCATTAACTGTAGTGGCTAGGCCGGATAAAAGTTGTAGTCCAACATCATCTGAGATACCACACCACCTCTACTACCAGCCCAAGTTCTATGCAACTTCCTCCTTCCTCCCTCTTCCATTTATATGCTCCAGTTCTGGTTCAACTGATTACAGTACTTCTGAGAAAGATGCTGATAAAATATATAAAAAATGAAACAGTTCTACAGTAGTGTTTTAAAATATTCTGTAGCTATCCCTTCTCGTCCTTGTATGATCATCAAAGTTCACCCTTGATTGCCGTCTGGTGCTTTCTGTATTGACAACGGCTATGACAGCTGCTATGCCAACCATGCAAAATGGCTCTTTCTAGAAGATTCTAGAAGAACAAGCCTTGCAATTCCAGAGCCTTTTTGTTTGTTTGTTTGGGGACCTGATGCTGACCTTCACATCCTGATTACTTAAAGCTCCCAAAGGCAGCGCTGGCATTTCTGAAGTATCAAATCAGATCAGCTCTCCAACCCAGAAACTTTTGTGTGGGACAAAGTTTAACGGCTTTTAAACTGAACTTGCCACAACATGTTTAGGGTTGATCTGTAAAACAAAACCGTAGGTTGCCACCTTGTGGTTAAGAATAGAGCAAAATAAAAATGGATAAATGCAACTAGTGGGACATAGTCAGTGGGAGCACTGCCATGTGATAACAGCTTGAACCCAGATAGCAAAATCAGCTTTCTTAAGACATAGAATGTAACGTGGAACACAACATAAAATTGACTTTGAGAATGTGTGTTGTACAATGCTATGTATTCCCAATTCTAAAGAGATTCCATCTGAACATTAGGAAGAACTTCCTGACGGTCAGAGCTGTCTGGCAGTGGAATAGGCTGCCTCGAAGGGTGGTGGAGTCTCCTTCTTTGGAGGTTTTTAACCAGAGGCTGGATGGCTATCTGTTGGGAGTACTTTGATGGATGTTCCTGCATGGCGGGGGATTGGACTGGATGGCCTCAGTGGTCTCTTCCAATTCTATGACTCTATGACTCTACTGTATGGCACAAAATTAGCTCAAGCTACTATACAAAAGAAGTATTTGGAATGTGCATTTATCATATGATGTTAAGACTGTCTTGCCTCAAAGCAACCAACAAAGAAGCCCTTAAAATGCAAGAAATCAGAATTCTTTGGATGAGTATTGAGAGATATGCAGTACACATTGCTGCAGTTGATTAATCAATGTAAAGTAATTGGGAGAAGTACATGAAGGAGAATTAATGGCTGAAGAACTTTGTGGCCTAGCTTGGACGAAGCACAACATTATCATTTAGAATCACTGCAGCGAAAGTGAGAATAGCTATGACAGGATCCAATCCTGTGTAGGAGAGGAACAAAAAATTGTCCCTTCAGTAGATGGACTTCCATCAGCAAAACGGAAATACCTCCCTTTCAACTTTCTGCATTCTGCACTAGCAGATGTCAGTTTATGTGATAATACAAAGATAAAATTTATTCTGATATATTTCAAGCTTCAGTCCATCTACAGTAAGCCTACTTCAATTTGTGGAGTGCAATTTGTGGAGTGGGGGCCATTATGCATATCCTATTAGTCCCAAGTAGAGTAGATGTACTGAATCAATGGGAACTTCTTAAGTCAACACTCATGTAAGTCGCATTGATTCAATGGGGCTACTTCTAACTGGGACTATACACACATGCCTAAATGCATGTTGTGTTACTGAACAGGAAAAGACTGTAGACAGACTGTGAATGTCTCTTTCCTTTGTGACTAACTGTTTCCTATGACAAAGCTTGTTCAAAAACATGGGGCATATATTAAAACCTTTATTGATTCCAATGGAAAAAAAATCAAAACACTTTGACAAACTTTGATATAATAGTACAATAAATATTGCATCAAAAACAATACTTTTCGGTAGAGGTAGTTTGCATATTCCACTATGAAGCCATGACTGCTCTCTGGGAGTACCATGTTTCTGCAAAAATAAAACAGGGTCTTATATTAATTTTTGCTCCAAAAAACACAGTAGGGCTTATTTTCAGGGGCTGTTTTATTTTTTTCCATGTACAACAATCTACATTTATTCAAATACAGGCATGTTATCTTCTGGTTGCTGCACAATGGTGCACTTAACTAGGGCTTATTTTTGGAGTAGGGCTTATTTTTGGGGAAACAGGGTATGTATGAGAGACAATAAGTCCAGTTTGGGGAAACAGGGTATGTATGAGAGACAGTCCACAGAGCAGATTTGTGCAGAACAAACTAGGAGAGATAGAAGATGACAGATGGTCTTTATAAAAACAGGAACTCACTGGAGGCCTCAGACTTCAACAACTGATCCTTCTTTGGACCTGTGATAATTTCAGCATCTGTCTGAAGCATCAACAACACCAAATCTAGAGCTCTGTGCCATGCTTCTCTCTTAGCTGCAACATTGTCATACACTTGGAGAGCCTTTGAGCCTGAACCAACAGATCCAACACTCACTGCTCCCAATGCCCCATTCTTAAATGCATCCAGTATGTAGGTCGATGGGGAAGTGCTCTCCGCTGCTCTTCTGAGATGCTGCTGTATGAAGGCACTCGCTTCAAACTTTGACACACAGTTTGCAGTGTTGCACATGAGCGTACAAAGATACTCATGCCAACCACTTGCTAAACTGTTTAGCACCAAGGGTTTGTACTGTTCTGAAGATTTTGCAAGCCAAGAGGAGCCACAAGGAAGCTCTCCAAAAACGTTTTTGGCTTCTTTCTCAAGGTAAGCAAGGTAAGTGAGACACAAGAACTCAACAGTGCCACCTCCTGGAAAGACGGCTTGATCATGAAGGGCATAATGTACACGGTAAGCACAGGTCCAAAAACAATCTTCAGTGGCTTGCATCTTGGATGTAACAGGGCAACCAAGCACTGCAGTTACCAGGGTCATTCCTTCTGCTGTTAAGGCAACTGGCACTTGGTCACCAAACTCCACCCAATTTATCTCCATAATTCCACACAGCTTCATACAGACACCCTTACCTATACAATGTTCATTCATTTGGGTGAGGTAAGTCACCTTATCTGCTCTTGTAGTGTTACTAAAAGCCCTTAACACATTGGGAGCTACCTGACAAATTATTACTATGTTATTCAGCAGACACCTTTCTTCTAAATTTTTACATACAGTGCCTTGCACCAAAACTAAATTTATGTCAGACTGAATCAGAATATCCAACACGGAGTCAACCCACGAGCTTGAGCTGCTCCTTAGAGCAGATGCACTCCCTGAAAAGATTCTTGTATTCTGTGGCCTATTAAGCCCTAGATGACGATAGATTTCAGTCAGATCTCCATCCACAAGAATAACACGAAAGGGCTTATCCTGAAAATGTTTAACAACAGCAGCTGTCTCTGGAGGTACTAAAGTGATGTATCCAGGACAAATACAAGAATGGCTTTCAGACATGCCTGGTAAACAACATGTTACAATTTCTAAAATATTGAACTGGAAAGGAGCAGTGGCAGCCATTTTGTTTCCAGTCTGCAGCTGGTATCTGAGAATATCCTGCACCAGTTTCATGGCAGAATTGTTTCCATGGCTAAGAGACATGGCCAATTGTCCCAAATCACTGAGCCCGTCAAATTGGGCCACCTGATGTGTCTGCTTCAGTGAAAGACTTTCATTTACAGCACTAAAGTACCTACTGTGAGTAACTTTTGATCTCTTCTTACGGTCCGATACACCCAAGTGGCAGTTTTGTAAACTGTAGTTTTTCTGAATCATCGTTTTGTCAGCTGCAAAAGTACAATTAATACTATTTAGTGAACACACAGTACTGCCTGTAGCACATACTTCTGAATACACACAGCTTCCCCACAAACTGCATTCATTTGCTTGCTGGAGGGTTGGACATGCTAATCTTTCTTCTGATTTTTTTGAGCATTCGTAAGGATATTCAACCAGGTTTAAAGCAGTTCTATTCAATTTGATATCTGAGGTTTTCATTTCAATACCCTGACCTTCAGATGTGCCGCAACTGATGTCGAAAAGAACCTTCTCATTCCATTCTATGGGAGTATCATTTGTTCCTTGCTTTATATTGTGCAATGATAACGCAAAACCTTCTACGTGCTCAATGCAAGAGTTTAGAGTTTCAGACATCACAGTGACTATTACTGAAAGTGGAACATCCTGTTGAAGACATTCGAGTACAGCCTTACTCCATGCACTAACAAGAAATAACAGGGTGGTTGTTCCAGTTTTATATTCTTTGTTCTGTGCCTGGATGGTCTCATTAAGAAGTTGTCCCACTGCGCTGTCTAAATCCAAGTTTTCAAGAAGTCTCACTGCAGAGCAAACAAATACACTGCCAGGAGTACTTTCATCAACTATAAATTTGGATGATTTTGCTGGTCCTAAAAGGGTCCTTCCAGTGGATGCCAAAGCTGAAAGCTGCTGCAGTCCAGTATGCCTCTTTGTGTTCATGCTTCTCAAAGCCATGTTCCCAAGGCATCTGCAAATGAAACACAGACTTATTGCTTTTATTGACTTCCAGCTCTTGCTTCATCCATTCAACACTAAAAGCTTCGATTAATGTCTCCAACAGGAATACAGTGACTCATTCTTTTCACTGCTGGAATTTAAATTCTATGCCCCTCACAAAATGGGTGCTGTGCTGTGTGTGGACGTGTATATAACTGATAACCAAGATGTCAGCATTAGACTTAAGATGCTGGAACAAATCCTATCAACTGTCCAGAGAAGTGCAAGGGCTATATGAGGAAGAAAAAATCAATAGGAAAAGGTGAAGAAACATTAAAGGCTATATTCCATTCTCAGAAATGAAGAATATCAAACATTACCCAATACAATAAGTGGTTTAAGGGAAACAGACATATCAATTAATCTTTTCAGTCTCACTGACTTCTCCTTTTGCATAGTTTTGCATCTCATCTTTGATATTAGAGTTTTTCACCCAGCTTGTAGAATCAACTTCGGTGATCAGTGGGGTCACAAGTACTGCAATCAGATCTCCCCCACATCCCAGCATGTAGAATATTCTCCATCTCCTTTTCTTGTGTGAGATATGAATACAACTCTGCCTGTAGAATGGTGGCATGTGCAGCTAAAGGAATAATGTAATCAAAATTAGTTTATTTAAGTACAGTATATATATATATAAATGGTATTGTAGTCAAATGAGATGAACACAAAAAGTTATTCTAGCTTCTGAACTTGTTCAAAGACATTCAGACTTCTTTTAGCAAGGGAGCAGCAGGCAGCCAATGGCCCACAGGTAGCACACACCCTCCTAGAATATTTTGCAGCTCTGTAGAAATTATGAAGCTGAAATTTGAACACAAAAATGGAAACAAATCAAGCAGGAATGCTCATTTGAAAGTGTTTTAAGGAGTCTCAACCAAACTATAGCAGGATTTTGGCTGCAGTAGGTACTGGTGAACTGGGGTAGGAACTGACCTCCCTGGACCTGCTGACAGTGCCCACCCCCGCCCTAAAAGAATGAGTAAACTCATTCATCTCATGAAACATAAACAACATGAATTTTACTGAGCCCTCTAAGTGAGCTTCAGCTGAAAGCCAAAATAATTAATAAATAAGTAGGATCTAGGTTCTCCAATCATAATTAATGTTTTGGAACCATGCTCTTCAATAATGTGTTTCCTTGTTATATTTGTGTATGCAAGAAGACATTAAAAGCAAAGACAAGAGATGTACAGGACACAATACATCCTTGAAAGTTTGTGTTATTTTTTAAATGGCAGCTTCTTTTAATAATAGGCTTGCTCAGTTGTGTATCAATATTTCCCAGAAAAAGTATCTTTGAAAAGAGAATCAGCAAACAAGCTTGATTGCAAACAGCATCAGTCCTGTCTTTATTTCATATTAAAATAGTGGAATTGCATCATTTATTGAGCAATAAAAATTCTCACAAATATTACAATAACGCTATTGAAATAATACAGTGAAGATTAGTGAGGGTACAACATGTGAGAGCTGGACCAACTTTCCCTCTCAGTAAGATCCCATCTACATGTCAAAGCACTGCTAAGCTTCCTATTTGGTAAGAAAGTATTTAAGTTTTATTGATGAGAAAATATTAAATATTTTATATCATGTCAAGAATAACCTCTTTGGGACTGGAAAGCATCTTAAATTTACAAATTCCAAATTGTACTTGACTTCTTAAAAACAAACTCTTGAAAGGTGGTTGTATGCATTTACACACAAATAACTACCAGACAGACCTGCAATCACACACACATTCTGCTAGTTCAGTACTGTAGTAGGAAAAACTGCACCAAACTTACACTATTGCACCCCCACCCCCAGAACACTGAGTGAATGAGAAGATGAGCACCTGGCACACCCAACATTATATTCAGCCCAACAGGCAAATCTGCAACTTCCATGCAACCTGAAAGTTTGTGCTCTTTCTCTCTCTCTTGCCAGGGCAATACCACAAGGCCTTAAAACTAGGGGCAGAATAGTAAATTTGAGAGGAAGTCTTTTGTGATGTTAACAGCTCTTAACTGTCTATTCAATACTCTCAAACACTTTGCATTATGAAAGGAACAGTTTATATCAGTATACTGTTACTTGGAAAATTGATTTACTTATTTAAAATATTTTAACCCATCTTTCTCCTTTAGAAGGACCTAATTTCTCTCCAAGTATTGTGAGGATTAGATAGTCAGTGTATGGGTAGTGAGAGTACTGGAGTGCGACTCAGGGGGCCTGGGTTCGAATCCTGGCTCTGCCATGGAAACATACCGGGGATGTGGAACGGGTAACACTACTCCTTAAGTATCTCACGTACCAAAGCCCTGTTAGGGTCGCTGTAAGTCGGTATCGACTTGAAGGCACAGAGCAACATTGCGAGGATCAGATCTAAACTTGAATGGAACAAAGAACCCCGGGCGACGAGTGTGGACGACCCCACCGTCCTAGGGCTCCGGAGAAAATCCCAGGGCTGCCACGCTCCCGGACCCGGCTGCCTAAAACTCTCTCCGCAAGATCGGGCGCTCCCCCGTTTCTGCCCGCTTGTTTCCCCTCCTCATCTGTGGACAACATGTAGGGGAGAGAAGGGCGAAGCGGATGGGCGCCCCCCCCAACCCCCCAGAAAACCAGGTCATCGAGAGGATCACTCAGAAGCTGCATCCGTCCCATAAAAACACTGTTACCTACGTAATTTTGAGTCCCCTGTGTAGGAAAGCAGCAATCTGCGTATTCAATCAGGAAATCCTCTAATCTTCTCCCTCTCCCATCCAGCCACTAATTATTATTATTATTTTCCTGTGATGCGAGAGGGGAAGGGACTGGAGGCACACGAAACACTGATCTCCGTGCAAGGCCAAACAAACAACGCCCCCCCCCGCGCCGCTGCGCATCCCGGAGACAATTCAGCACCTTCTGCTGAGCATGCGCCTACAAACCGCACATGCTCAGTGATGCCCATGGACGCTTTCTCTCGCCTCGCCCCGGGAGGGGGGGGCGAGGCGGCGCCGCTCATGTTCGTGAGAATTTGAGGGAGGCGAGGCTAGAGCGGGGCGGCTCAAAAAAATAAGTAACTAATAATAATTTGAAGAACAGTGCGTGCAGGACTACAAAACGGACTGCCTCACTCTTGCAAGACGGCCCCCTTAGGACAGCCCGGGGCGTCTCCGGCCATTGAACGATGGATTAGAGGCTTTGTTCCTGGGACTCCTCGAGTCCCATTTAACCCAAAGTTGAGGAACCTCTGCCTTTGCAGATGTTGGCCCTATAACTTCATGGTACCGGCCAATGGCAGGGGAAGGTGGGATCTGTAATCCAGATATTCCCTATTCACGATTTGACACTTCCGTCGCCCCACCTACTCGGGGCCATGACTTCCTTCCCCCATCAAAGGGTTTTAGAGTCTTCGAAAGGAGATTCCTAACTGTGAGCATAATATCACTCTCAAAAAGAGTATTTTTATTGTTTAGAACTGCAGAGCTCGAAGGGACCCTATGGATCATCACGTCCAACCCTTGTCAAGGCGGCAAAAGTGGGGAATCGAACTCCCAATCTCTGGCTCCGCAGCCAGATGCCTTTAACCACTGGAAGGGAGCCAAAAGCGATTTCTGCTCAAATCTCCCGATTTTCAAATACTGTACTGTATCTGCTGTGAGAGGGACGCTATTCGGTGAAGGCAGCGGAAAATCCGATAAAAGAATTAAGAAACGGCTATTAAATGGCTAGATCTCGAGACATTTCCAAAAAGCGGAGTTAGTTTGTTTCGAATTTACCAGCCGTGAAACTAATCGTTTCTACCCTATCCGTTCCTACCATCACCACCACCCCCCGCAGTGCCGGCTACGTAGTCCTGAACTGAAGGGACGAAAGACACTTTGCACATGTTCACAGGCGCTTATTCTCATTCCATACGATCCAGGACCCCGTCCTATTTGGCCCAGTCCAAATACATGCATCCCCGCCACGGATTCCCCCCCCGCCCCTCTCTTGCTGCTACGCCCACTGGAGGAAGATACCCTTCCGTCCTCTCTAGGTAGGAGGCGGGTTCCAAGGCAGGCCCTCAAAATCCCGGCGCCCTCGGTGGCGGGAAGCGGTTGCTAAGACACCGACGCCTCTTGTTTGTTGTGACTCCTACCCTACCAGCGACATGGAGTCCTGTGTGACGTCACAGAGCCCGCTTTCCCCCCCCTTGCGCCGCCCTATTGGCCCGAGCGGAAGACCCGCGAGGGCCACGGCGGGAATTCCTTCTCTCATTGGACACCCTCGGCTTTTAGGGGCGGGACGTTATCCCTGAACTCAGGTGACCCAAGATTTGAGAGCCCCGCGGTCCGGTCCGGGTGGGCTTTGGAGCAAGAGGAGGGAGGCGTCATGGTGAGTGTGTTTGCTTCTCCGGCCAGTAAAATCGCGCCCGAGAGGGAGAGGTCTGGTAAAATCCTCATCTCCCTTCTATTTTTTAATTCTGACCTTCGCCGCCCCCGCCCACTCTTGACCCACGGAATTGACCTGCTGGGCTTGTCTTTCGTGCGTTGAAACAACGTAGCCTGCCCTGAAGCAGGGCTCTTAAGGCGGGCGGATGGTGGTGGGCGGCTCAGGGAAGCCTTGTTGCGCGCTCCTCGGGAGAGGGGAGAGTTTCCTTGTTCCTGTGTAAAACGTGTGGAGGCGGAGTAAAAGCAACCTCCCTGTTGCAACCCGACCCCCCCCCTCATTCTATGGGGAAGGAAGGATTCGAATTGTGTTCCAGTTCAGCTCCACTGCCCGGAAGGGGTGCCCTTAAATTGTTGGCATCTCTAGCTATGAGTGGGTGGAACTTCACGAAACGCTCCCCCTGAACTTCATACGAAGGGTGGTTGTGAGAAAGGGGGGGGAAGAGAGCAGTGTAAGCGGGCAGCTCCAGGGCGCTCTTCCTGTTGCCCGGGGTGCGGAGCAGACACGCGTGCTGAGGAAACCGGCGCGTGGCTGCAGCCCTAGGCACGTCGGTCGCCTTCAGAGCAGTCTCCTGTCAACACCGTGCAAGCGGTCTTCTTTCCGAGCAAGTCCGTGAAGCCGCGTCAGGCAGCTTGTGGGACTGTAGCTCCCGGGACCGCTCCCCCTCCTGCCTCTCGGCTAGGTAGGGCTTAATGGACCTGCAGGGTGGCAACAGTTAAGAGGGCTGCATTTTGGACCACGATACAAATAAAAGGATTCAGCTGCACGCGATAAACCTACATTGCCTTCTGTTTGCACTATTACTACAAATAAGTATTTACTACCCAGCCCGGTGTAGTGGACAGAGTGCAGGGTAGGACTCAGAGGCCCTGGTTTCAAGTTATCACTCAGCCATGGAGTCTCACTGGGAATGTGGAACGGGTGAAGCCACTTTTAAATCTGACTTTCAAAGGCCAAGTAGGGTCACTATAACTCAGTTCTGACTCGATGGCACATAACAAATGGATTTGCTGTTGGCTGAAGTGGACAGGACCTCTTCCTTAGGAAAGCCCAGAAAGTACAGAATATAGGCAAAGTTATGTGATTCATTTCTTACAGTAAGAAGATCCATCCTGGCTTTTGCCTATATGTGTTGAACCCTGTGGATGTAGGTGGCATTCTGACATCCACATGTGTAGTAGTGGAAGTGGGACCATTGTGGCAGGTGGGAGGTTTGGAGAAGAGGTCCATCCACCTTATTCACCATCTTGTGATGGACTGTATTATGGAAAACTTTGTCTAGCCAAGCAACTCCCATGGCCCACATATAACTGTGAGAATATTAAATAATGCTTGATTTACTGTTGTTGGGATACCAGGTATTTAAATTCAAAGAGAGGAACAATGTTTTGCTGCTGTAACTTCCTGCTGCCTTTTATTTTTACACATGAGAAAAATCCATGTTGAGTTTACATAATAAATTCAAAGTGTTGCTAGAACTATTGTACCTCTTTTGGTTTTCTTCAAAACAATTCTTATTCTTTCTCACCCGTAACTGAAGGCATCTGGTTATAAAAGATCAAACTTGGGAGCTTCTCAGCGAAGGAAAAGTGGATTGAAACATGAATTGTCAGAAGAGCAAAAGCAGGAGGTCAGAGAAGCTTTTGATTTGTTTGATACGGATGGTTCTGGAACAATTGACATTAAAGAACTGAAGGTATGCACGTATGTAGTTTTGTCCTTGCTTTAAATTAATTATCAGATTTTTCTTTTGGGTCTCCCAGTGTTCACTTACAAGTATTACAAAGAAACATAAGTGGGCATCTGACCTACTATTAAAATAAATAAATAACTTACCTGAATCTGCTTTTAGGTTCTTTTGAAAGGCTCCCATCCCTGCTGTCCTGTTTGATTTCATTCATTGTGAGTTACCGTATTTTTCGCTCCATAAGACACACTTCCCCCACCCCAAAAAAAGTCGGGTAAAAAGTCTGTGCATCTTATGGAGCGAATACACTTCTGCAAGGGCTCCCTCTGATGTCAGGGGAAAGCCCTTGGAGACCTCCTGGGGGTCGTATCGCAGTGGCGGGGGACCCCCCAGGAGGTCTCTGATGGCTTCCTCCAAGCCATCAGAGACCTTCTGGGGGTCCCCTGCCACCGCAGAGGCAAAAAGGCAGGGGGAAAGGATGGGAAATTCAAATCTCGGTGGTGGGTTGTCATGATCAGACCAGACCCCCAGGAGGTCTCCGAGGGCTTTCTCCTGACATCGGAGGAAGCCCTTGCAGACCTCCGAAGGCAATAAGGCAGGGTAAAATGACGGGAGATTCAAATTTCCCATCCTTTCCCCCTGCCTTTTTGCCTTCACGGCAGTGGGGGACCCCCAGGAGGCCTCAGAAGGCACCACGGGGGTCCCCCCTCCTATGCTGCTGCTGGTAATAGAAAGGGGCAAAGCCTGACTGAAGCCATCCCCTTGGCATAGGCTTGGATTGGGCTTTGCCTATCTATCACCAGTGGCAGCATGGGGGAGGAGGAGTGATCCAGAGCCAGGGGACTGCTTTGATCCCTTCTCCTCCTCTTATGCTGCCAGGCAGATTTTTTTCCCCTGTTGTCCTCCTCTAAAAATTAAGTGTGTCTTTTGGTCAGGTGCGTCTTATAGAGCAAAAAATACAGTACATTGCCTGCTTTGTCTAGTTCAAGGGTGATCAAAATGTGGCCTTCCAAATGTTGTTGGACTGCAGCTCTTTGCTCATCCTGTTTTGGCTAATTTCAAATTAATCTGTAATGTCAGACAAGTGAAAAATACAAACTAGTATCACAGTGTATAAAATCATGCAAAAAGACTATAAAATTACTTTATTTAAATGTGGACACTACTACTGCATCTATTTATTCCAGAGTAGTTTCATTAAAATCTGTTAACGATAAATGGATTATTTGTATCATCAGTGTTTGGATATGCCATGATTTAAGTGGAGATGGGGATAACTCTTTGAAACTGATGTTGCAATTAGAGTGTTTGACTAGAACTTGGAAATCCAAACAGTAATCCTCCCTGGGTCATAGAACACACTGGGTGAAATTCACTGGTCACTCGCTCTTTCCCAGTCTGGCCTACCTCACAGGTTTCTTGTGAGAATAAAGTGGGGAAGAATAGAGTTGTGTATGTAGTGTAAATGTAACTAATAACGAGTAAATAAATAAATGAAACCATGCCTCCAGATTCAACTAAACATCTTGACAGGAGGGACAAAACTGTATAGGTGTATATAGGTGTATAACTTACAATTGCAGCTACAGGGCACATGCCGGCTGTCAGACCACACTCATTGCCCAGCTGGGCTCTGTGAAAAAGGTTGTTATCTGCTTTAAGTCTAATCAGAAATTGGTGAAAGAGTTTTTTTTTTAATGTACTAAATTATTATAAAGCCATTGTTTTCTCTGATCATATGAACACACAAACTATAAATAACTTGTTTTTTAAATACTGTATGTTAAATTGTTCGTGGACATGCAAAGCAAGCTGTTGCACCAGAGTTTTTTTTTAAAATTATCTGTAGATACAGTCTGCATTTTTTCTATTGCAGGTTGCAATGCGTGCACTTGGCTTTGAGCCAAAGAAAGAAGAAATTAGAAAGATGATAGCAGAAATTGGAAAAGAAGGAAGTAGTGTCATAGAATTTGAAGACTTTTTGACTATGATGACCCAAAAAATGGTGAGATGGAAATGCATACTTTTGTTTTTATAGTCAAAAGAAAGTGCTGTTTTTTTTCCACATCCTCTTCTCTCCCTTCTTTTTTGAAAGAGTGAAAAAGATGGTAAAGAAGAAATCCTGAAGGCTTTTCGATTGTTTGATGATGATGGTACAGGCAAAATTTCCTTCAAAAATCTAAAGCGAGTTTCCAAGGAACTTGGAGAAAATTTGACAGATGAAGAACTGCAGGTAAATGATTTGTTTTCTAATGCTTTATCAATAGATGATGAATCATTTTAATGACTGCAGAAGTCCCACTGTGTAGCTCAGCAGTGTTGATGATCATAGGACTAGGTTGTTTCCCTTCCCTAACACACAATAACTCTATGTATTAACTCTGACTTCTTTGCCGGCCCTGTTCCACCTTCTAGCTCTACATACTGTAGCTACAACAAAGATCCGTTGTCAGCCTTTACATGAGTTTTCTTGAGGCAGTAGAATTTATTTGTTCCCAAGACCCAAAGTTTTCCTATTTCATGGTCTTCTAATAAAGATATGCCTTCTAGTTGGTTGTGAAGTGTATTGGATTTTGTTTTTTATTTTATTTCTCACCCCAAGCCATAGATAAGTGGTGGTTTATGTTTAAATTTTCATGGATTTAAACCATCAAGACAGTTAACAGAGCAGAAAGAAACAAATAAGACAGTAAAAAATAGAACCATAATGTTATCTATTAACAAAGTAACTAATTAAAGCTAAATAAAAGGACACTACATTAATTTACATCTTTGGATACACGAGACAGAACTGTCTGGCTCAAAAATAGCCATAGTCTGTGAAAGTTCCATAACCGATCAGTCACAACTGAAAAGGCCACTCAGTGGCCATCTGCCTAACCTCTGAAGGCAGAGTCCACTTATTGAAGAATAGCATAAGAAACCACTTAAATCATCTTACACAGTAGATTTTAATGCATTATTGGATCCTGTGCTACAATCAGTATTTGTGTTTCTCTTACACTGGAGATGATCTTGCTGTCATTCCCAAGGGGGGGTTCCCCTTAGTTTATTAAAAATACTAACGTAATGTCATTTTCCAATAGAATGTTGTAATACTGAATGTTTCAGTGGCCCTCTGCAGTGTGCCAGACTGTCAGCCAAGTTTTTTCCCATAGAATTCTCTAATCCCACTCTGCTGTTTGAGTTGTATTTTTATTAGCTTCTAGAGTTATTTTCAGTAAGGATTTTGTATATGTCTGTAAACCATGAAGTTCTTCCAAGCCATGAGGTTGGCCTCAAATAATTCCCATATATATATATGGGAATTATTTTAGGACAACCTACCCACACATATATGAGATGTGTGGGTAGATCAGGATAGGCATTTGGATAATTAGCTGATCCTGCGTAAAAAACAATACTTCTTTACAACGTATTTCAGGTTGAAGCACCATAAGAGCTTTAAGATCAAGCTGTGATGAATGCACTTGTCAAAGGAGTGTTTGATACTTCTAGAAGAATGCTTAATTGTCATTATTTTTACAGGAAATGATAGATGAAGCTGATCGTGATGGAGATGGAGAAATAAATGAGCAAGAATTCTTGAGAATCATGAAAAAGACCAATCTATATTAATGGCTTTGTAATGTTTAAAATTCATCTACAAGGACATGCAAATATCATAATGTTTTCTGCTGTTTTCTCATATGTGGAAGAGGATACTACTTCAGGGAAGTGAGAGGATCCTTTTCAAAATCTCAATATTATTCATCAATTTTTCAAGTTCAAGTGTGTTTTACTGAAATGAAACAATGTCTGTGCCTCCTTATTAAACCCAAAATTGGGCCGTAGATACCTTCCTTTGACCCATAAGGGTGATGATTTAGTGTTCCATTTAAAGCAAAATTAATAACAATAGGATGTATAATGTCCTTCTAAAAATAAGCATTTTGTGCCAACATACAGTTGGCTTGCTCCTTTTGACTATGGCATGACTTTCATTCTGGTGAGTCTGAAAACAGACAAACTATATCTCCCGCTTAACTGTTGTGACACTGAACTTCTGTGATGTAAAACTCTGGAAAAGGATGAAAACCCTTAGTAGCTGTAGCAAGACTCCTCACAGTTCAATAAGGCTAAGAGGCTGCACCTGGCCAGCTTCTCCTGTGCAGTTATTCAAATGCAAATATTTTCAATCTCTTACAGAAACAGGCACCCTTCAAGTAGGAAAACCATTTTTCTTCCCTCAGGTAAACACTTTTTGAGCTTTTTGTGTCTGAGCAAAATAATGAGAATTATTCATAAAGATATAATGCTTTTCAACTGTAAGCTGAAATGCATGTTACACGAGAGTAGCATTGATACTTCTCGGCTGTTTTGTGTGATTTGTCGAAGTGAGAAACAGCCACAGAAGGATGCTAATTGGATCAAAAAAATACTAGGAAAAACCGAAATGGTTTATCCACTTTCCTACAACTTTTTCTGCTCAAAATTGCTCACATACACACCCAGCATACTGCCTGTGGGAAGGCATCTGTAAGTGAAATCTTGAGCAAAAGAACTGTAGAAAAGTATTTGAAATCCTATTTCAAACACCATGACTCACTTGGTGTCCTCTGTGTGAATCTAAAACATTTCACTGAGTTCGTTCTAATGAATGTATTCTTTATACCATGGATGTGTAAATGTAAGGTTGATGTATCATTTGAGTTTCTGTTATTTACCTTGCATAAACATTCATTCAAGCCTATTTGTATAATGTTTCTGTACAAGGGTTTCCTTTTTAACAGCTGTTTTTGTAGAATTTTAATAAAGCTTTCTAGTACAAGTAGATAACTTCTACAAAACACTGGTTGTTTACCTTTTCTTTCCTTAAAGTAACAAAACAAAACAAAAATCTTAAGGTGACTTTCACAGTATTTTTGCTACGTTTCAAAAATCATTTTTTCCTATAGGTGTGGTGTTTACCATCTGTGCAAAAAAAAAAAAACCATATGTACATGACCAAGAATTTGCTTTAAAGTTACTTTCCTAGCAACCTATTATCAGAATCGATCCTACTAGATACCTGAATTTGGGTGTGCAATAGCATCCTAAATAAGCAGATAGATTTTGTCATATAAAATGGAATAAAATTGCTTCCTAAAAATATAATTGTAATATACCATTTACACAGTCTTGCTGCCTGATATAATCAAGATGCCAAATCCTGTTGCTCTGAGTTCACCACATAAGACTGATTATGTAACCAGTTGCAGTGATTTTTCAGAAATAAAACATTTTTTTTAAATTTCTCCTCAAGGTTCCTGTGGAACAAGTTTCATTGGAAAGCAGCTGAGGGCTGCAGGATGCAAAATCGCTGCCACTGGGACAACTTTATGTGACGTAATGAAACAGGCTTTCACCCAATTAAATAAAAAAAATACAATTAGCTAAAATAGTTTTGGAAAATAACTTTAAAATTAAAGAAATAGTATCATGAGACTGAAAGAGACAACTGTCTCCTCAAATACGCTCATAATATGCTTGGTGAGTTAACATATACAAAGGTGCAGAGACTCAGCCCAGTAAACTCCGCAGACTGGGTTACATAATGTGCAAATGCTGTAGAAGCAGACTTCCTAGACTCAAAAGAAAACACAGTCTAGAGAAAGCACTTATTAAAATCATCAGTCAACTAACACAGTGCTGGAGTTGGACTTCTCTTTTTAATGAAGAAAGGAAGTCATTATCTGCAAGCAGGTATGAATTGCACAATCCTGTTAGATCAGATCTGAATCCCTGCTAGTATCTAGGATGAACTGACAGTAGTGCAAATCCAGCTGTGAAATACCATGCATGTCAAGAGTGGAGTCTACACTGTTTACTGGCTGCTTGGACACACCCCATTGCATAACCAGAGGACGATAGAGCGTGCTGCAGTCAGCTGCCAAATTACCTCCTATTGCTTGCACAATGCAGTAGGATTCTGGCTAATGTGTCCACTAGAACATATTCTAAGTAAGTGTGCATAACATTGCATCTGTTACCCTTACTATACTGCAGATTTCTTGTGAAGAAGACATGTTGAAACAAGTATTTATTGAGGTCAAAAGAAGTATAGTTACTCAAAACACATTTAGAAGCACAACAGTTAACACATAAAATAACGCAGAGAACAGATCCCTTGAAGACAACTTGCCACATCAGAGAATTGCTTTCTTGTTCTTAACTGATGTTGACACAGATTGCTTTTTCACTGACAAAAATCCAGCGCAGAAATGTTCTAGTCTACTTGATAAAGTGGCCAGTAAAGGAACAATTACAGCTGAGCTTCAGCATAAAAATAACAAAATGAAAGGTTGCATTCCAGAGTCCATTTCTTGATTATAACACAAAAGTCTGAAGCGAAAAGAAACAGTACCAGACCTTCCCAAAAAGGCCTGAGAGTTAATAGCCAAAATTCTGTCACTTAGTGTAGTAAATCAAACTGTTTCATTTGTGTTTCCATCCTCTGCTCACAAATACTGTTTTATCTCTGCCCTGTTCAATATGATGGCCAAAATCTTGTAGCTTAACACAGTAAATCACACTAGAGTAGGCCCATTGAATCAATGGGGATTTTTTGAGTCAACTCTTCCATAAGTTCTATTGATTCAAATGGACCTTTGTTGCTGTTTAGTCATTAAGTCGTGTCCTCCTATCTTCTACTGCCTCCCGGAGTTTGGTCAAAATCATGTTGGTTGCTTTGGTGACTCTGTCCAACTATCTCATCCTCTGTTGTCCCCCTTCTCCTCTTGCCCTCACACTTTCCCAACACCAGGGAGTCTTCTTATGAGATGGCCAAAGTATTGGAGCCTCAGCTTCAGCATCTGTCCTTCCAGTGAACACTCAGGGTTGATTTCCTGCAAAATGGATAGATTTGTTCTCTTTGCAGTCCAGGGGACTCTCAAGAATCTCCTCCAGCACCACAAGTCAAAAGAATCAAATCTTCAGTGGTCAGCCTTCTGTATGGTCCAGTTCTCACTTCCATACATCGCTACTGGAAAAACCATAGCTTTGACTATTCGGACTTTTGTTGGCAAGGTGATGTCTCTGCTTTTTAAGATGCTGTCTAGGTTTCTCATCGCTGTCCTCCCAAGAAGCAGGCGTCTTTTCATTTTGTGTCTGCTGTCCTCATGTGCACTGATCATGGAACCCAAGAAAGTAAAATCTGTCACTGCCTCCATATCTTCCCCTTCTATTTGCCAGGAGGCGATGGGACCAATGGCCATGATCTTAGTTTTTTTGAAGCTGAGCTTCAGACTGTTTTTTGCACTCTCCTCTTTCACCTTCACTAAGAGGTTCTTTAATTCCTCCTCATTTTCTGCCATCAGAGTGGTATCATCTGCATATCTGAGGTTTTCTTCTGGCAATCTTAATTCTGGCTTGGGATTCATCCAGTCCAGCTTTTCGCATGATGTATTCTGCATATAAGTTAAATAAACAGAGAGAAAATATACAGCTTTGTCGTAATTCTTTCCCAATTTTGAACCAATCAGTTGTTTCGTATCCAGTTCTAACTGTTGCTTTCCATCCCACATATAGATTTCTCAGGAGATAGATGAGGTGGTCAGGCACTCCCATTTCTTTAAGAACTTGCCATATTTCGTTGTGGTCCACACAGTCAAAGGCTTTTGTGTAGTCAATGAAGCAGAAATAGATGTTTTTCTGGAACTCTGCTTTCTCCATAATACAGCGCATGTTAGCAATTTGGTCTCTAGCAAAATGGACCTACTCTATGCTGAAGAAAGTTCTCAATGGGCTTTATACAACTGACACAACAAATCCCCATAGATTTAATGGGCCTACTCTGGCTCGATTTATAACAGTAAGCAATAGGATTTTGGCCTGTCCATTTTGAACAGAGCAGAGGGAAAACAATACAGTATTTGTAAGCAGAGGATGGAAACACAGATAAAACCAGCCATTACAATTAACTAGTCACATTTTTCAGTGCATAAATGGATCTGCTAAAGTGGGTCACTGTAAGTATCACAACACATAGTTGGCCTCCAGATTGCCAAAGGTCACCCTATCCCTGCAGGTTCCACCACTCAAATTTTAGGGAGACTTTCCCAGGTAGCTCTTCTCACATCTCAAAACTCATGAAATGGGTTATAATAATAACCTTAGAACTGCAGAGCTGGAAAGGATCCTATGGGTCCAGCCTCTGGCAAGGAGGCACGCTGGGGTATTGAACTCCCAACCTCTGGCTCTGCAGAGCCTAAATCCCTGAGCTATCCAGCAGTTCAGGTGAGTTGGCCCTGAGGGTGATCTCTATCCCATCCCTGGGACTCCATAGGCCTGCATGACAAACCTTGGTAATTGCTGGTCACCATAAAGGACCCTCACCCCTAATATGGGGTGTGCCAAGACTTCTACCATTGCCAAGCCCAAAGTGTTTGCCTTTTCTCCCTTTACCCCCTTCCACTGAGCCAGTGGAGGCAAAAAGCCCTTGGCAATGCACAAGTTATTTAAATGAATAAATAACCAGTTGGCATAAGTAAGAAGATGAGCAAGTTGTACATGCAGAAAGGACTTGAAAAGAGATCTCCCAGAATTGTTGCTACGTATCTCAAGGTAATGCCAACTGATGTCTAAGGGAAGGAGAATGGCATAAGTTTAATGAAGTGATTCTATTTCAAATTCTGCAAATGACTTGACTCTAGCAGATGGTACTAATGTTCATCTACCATCTGCATGTTCTGGAATGGCTTTCACAATGCAAGGCTGATACTCACAACCTTGGGCATTTAACAAGACACACGGATAGCAATATCTTTGGCCATTAAATTGGAATGACTACACTTTTTTCTTCCCTGTGTTCCAAGCAATGAAAGAAAATTTAGCTCAGGTACTCTTCTAGTATAAGTGTGATCAGCCTGCACTGCAGGTCCCATCAGCCCCAATCAGCACAGCCAATGATAAAGAACTATGGGAGTCATAATCCAACAACTGGAGGGCCACAGTTCCCCCCCTTCCCCTATTAGTTATCTCCTATTTTCAGAAGTGGATGTATGAGATCCATAAGATCTCATACATATAAGATGAGATCTATAAGATTTGGTGCCTACTGGGTGTGTACACGTTACCAGAAACTCCTACCTGGTTCAAGTTTTGACTGTTTCCACAGAAGTCGGTATGACTATAAATTTCTGCAGTTAAGCTGTTGCTTTCCTTCAATGAAAAGGGGTATTCCCTATTAAGATAATTCTGTCCAAAGCAAATTATTGTACTGAACAAGAAAGGTGATGTGTAACCTGATGTCACATCTAGAAGATAACCAGGGGGTGGGATGGGGGCACCTAAAAAAAAAGGAAAGACAACCTGGCTATTACTCTTTCCAGTGAGTAACCGGGGGAAAGCCTGCAATAAGGCTTCCAACCACAATTTGTTTTGATAATAGACTTAGTGTGCTACTACATCATCAAAGCCGTGGGAGAGGCTCATTTGAATCCATCTGGGGCTTTTGTCTCCCAACTCTCCTCCTTTTTTTTCTTTGCCACTGGGTACTTTCTACTTTTTCATTCCGGAAAAATTCAAACAGGATTTTTTCTGTGTGGTCAGATTTACAAGATTGGGGGCATGCTTGTAGGTGCTAATCCTTCCTTCCTCTAGTCCTGCCTCCAGTTTTCCTTTTATGGTTAGTTGTAAAACAGCTTGGTTTTCGTGTTCCATGGCATTGTCTTTCATTTCATCTTCTTTCCTTCTTTTTCCGTTTCCCTTGAAAAAATTATGCACGCAGAGGTGATCTAGCACTAAACTCAAAGGAAATAAAAGAAAACTTTAAAAATCAGAGGAGGATCAGTGAGAGGAGAGAATGTGCAGAGTTTTTTTTAAAATAGGAGGACCTCTGCACCTATAAACATTTTTTAAAAGGGAATGGAAAAAGAAGTAAGCAAGATGAAATGAAAGACAATGCCATTGGATGTGTGTATTTGAAAACCAAGCTGTTTTACAACTAATCATAAAAGGAAAGCCAGAGCTAGAACTAAGAGAAGGAAGGAAGGATTTAAGGAACACCGGCTTTAAGGACCGCATATCATCAGCATCTGAGGTTGGAAGCCATGTGCACATACCGTCTAGCAATTGTCTTTCCTCTCTGGAAACAGAGACCTTTCTCTGTGCATTGCTGGGTCTTGTGAAGCTCTTTGATGATAGATAATTACAGTTTATATTGGCTGAAATCCTATTCCATTGCTATGCCTGCATAATTTAAAGTTGCACAAGCTGTTGTGAAATCTGCACCAAGATGCAAATTTATTCAGGAAGTGGTTCTGCAGATGCACATCAACTGTGCAATCAATTTTGCAGTTAATTGTGCAGTTAGTTGCATGCATAATTGCAGTTAGATATGTGACTGTAACTCCATGTGAACTTGTGCAGGTGTAACTTTATCAATCCTATTGCCAAGCGCAACAGGATTTGAGCCATTGCTTGACACCTTATGACTTGATACACCTTGCCTATGAAGCATGTACTTCCTATATATTCAGGTTCTCTTTCTGTGCATTCACTAGCATTAGTGGCCTTCAATTCTGTTCCACATGCAGTAAACAGAAGCCTCCTAACACACCATAAGAACAATAGTATCATAAATATCAGTTGAATATCAGGTGAGTTCCAACCCCCCCCCTTGGTTTAGCAGTTTGCCAGCTGGAGAAATGTATAGGATTACCTTGCCAATTTTTGAAATAAAAAGGGACCATTGGCTTTTAACAGGAATGTTTATATATACCATTTCAATGTCCACATGTAGCTGACATTGCACAATCCTTAAAGTACTTTAATAGTAAACAGTAAGCAGCGCTTTCAACTATTTTTTTCCAATTTTGTGAACCATTTATTTTGATGTCAAATGTTCATGTTTTGGAAAGTGGAAGACCAAAAGGTGTTCAGATTGACTAACTGTTGGTAAGGATAACCATTAGTAAATACATATTTAAATAACTAAAAGAAATAGAGCATAGGGGGGAGGTTATTCATGTTCCTCTCCAATTCAGCATAGCTGTATGTCTCCTAAATCATTTGCAGGGGGAGGCATTATTCCCAAATAGGGGACTATGCTGAACTTGACAAACTAAAATTAGAAGCTTATAGTCAATTCCATGAGAAACTGGAATTTGGAGTAAAAATCTGGAAACTGGAGTAAAAATGAATCTTTTATATTCTGGTTCAATATATCATATTTTTCCGTGTATAAAATGATACTTTTCCCTAAAATAATTAGAGAAAAAATTGAGGGTTGTTTAATAAATGGAAGGGAGGAGGAGGAGGCAGAGACGGAGGCAAAGAAGCAGCCAGGCTCGGCTGCCTCTCACTGCTGCCCGTTAACTGCTGCTGCTGCCACCCAATCACACCCTCCAGCAATCGTCCCCTTGCAATCGGGTGGTGGCAGTGGCAGTCAATGGGCAGCAGCAAGAGGTGGCCGAGCCCGCTGCTTCTTTGCCTCAGTCTCCACCTCCTGCTGCTGCTGCCTCTGCCGCTGGTTGCGGGCTCAGTGATTATGCAACCCTTTGACTGCTGCTTTTCCCTTCCTTTTGCTAAGCCATGGGGCTTAGCAAAAGGAAAGGAAATCAGGGATTAAAGGACTGAATTTGATCATTGCTTTCCCTTCCTTTTGCTAAACCACGGGGCTTAGCAAAAGGAAGGGAAAAGCAGGGATTAAAGGGATTATTAGGGATGTAGTGGCGCTGCGGGTTAAACCACAGAAGCCTCTGTGCTACAAGGTCGGAAGACCAGCAGTCGTAAGATCGAATCTACGCAATGGAGTGAGCTCCTGTCGCTTGTCCCAGCTCCTGGCAACCTAGCAATTTGAAAGCATGTAAAAATGTGAGTAGATAAATAGGTACAACCTCAGTGGGAAGGCAACAGTGTTCCGTGTCTAGTCGCGCTGGCCATGGAAACTGTCTTCAGACAAATGCTGGCTCTGTTTCTTGGGAAACGGGGATGAGCACCACGCTCTAGAGTCGGACATGACTGGACTAAATATCAAGGGGAACCTTTACCTAATAATAAATTATCAATATATATTTTCTTTGCTTATCTTCTAATTGCCCAAATCCCGTTGGGCAGGTTCTGCCTGTGCAAAGAGAATGATGTCATTTTCGGCAGCAGATTGCTACTGATTAGATGATTTTTTTCTTCTTCCAGTTTTGGGGTGGGCACAATCTATCACCTACAATGACATTATTCCCTTTGTGGAGACAGAGCTGCACAAGATTTTATGGCCAATACTGTTTGTTTAACAAAACGTGCAACACACCACTTCACAGAATACGAATAATAAACCTTTATTGGCATACAGTTTGTTTAACAAAATGTGCAACACACCACTTCACAGAATATGCCATTTCCAGTCAAATTCATGTCTTGGTAATCATGTCTCAATCAAACCACTGTTGATATTGTTCCTATAAAATTGGGACAGCATTGGTTAGAGCCATGATTTTAGGTAACAATAAAACACACTGTGCTATGTTCTAAGAAGATGATGCAAAGAAAATAATATTTTAATTTCTTAAACTTTTAAATTAAACAAAAGAGAATATAATCAGTGTGTACTCAAAGTTCTATCACACATCAAACTGGCCTTTATGCAGTTATGAGTTTCAAAGTGACATACTTTTATGTAGACTCAGCAAAGTAAAACATGAGAATCAATCCTGAGGACTTAAAAAAAATTCAGGCCCATCATCAGGCATTTTATGGTGTGTAAATTAAAGTAATATGGCTTGAATGTTTTATTATTTTAGTCTTATCTTAGAATTTTCTGCATATAGTGGATACTGAATTCTGTTCTCTGTTCTGTTTAATAATTCTTCAATCATTTCTGGCTGTCCATATACTTTGTTAGTTTTAGAGTCATATTTGCATTTCCAGTTTCCTTTTGGAATAATTTTCATTTGAAAGTTCTTTGATTTATTCTTCCTTTCATAAATTGTGACTAGTTTTTAAGTTATATGGACAAAAAATCCAGTTATTAATCCAAAAAACCAGGATACCCACTGGATCAATAGTATTTGCAAAAGTATTGACTTGACACCTTCCTTTTAATTGAACGTACAAACAGATTTAACATTCTAATACCATTTTTTTAAAAGCTGGTATTTAATTAGCTGTCCCACTGGTTTTTAAGTATAGAAGGTATGCAAGTAAACAACTGTCACTGCACTTAATAACTCCTGGAAGTCTCACACCTGGGCCTTTAACCACCAAATGGTATACTTTGGTGACAAGTGAGTGGAAGCTTTCTACAGGGAAACCTAAAGAGATAAATTTTACTTTTTGCATTAGTCACCAGTATGCAAGTGTTAAGATCTAAATTATCAGAGTCTGAGGCAATTTGGGGCAGGCAGGAAATCTTATAAGCAGAAATGGAAATGTGAAGAAGAAGAATACGTCAAAAGGCTTCATGTAGCGTCAAATTGCCCAACCGTGTGGCGAACGCCACATGAAGCATGAGGAGTAATCTACCAATGGAGGGGGGGGATTTCTATCTGCGTGGGGCTGTTAAAGTGTTTATATAAGATTAAAGGAATGTTTCGGAAACAGGATCCCCACCTACATATTTTCTTTACATTTACGGTAACATTGGCGAACAATTGTGATTTTCTTTATTTTCCATTTCCCTTTTCGTAGTGAAACTTGGTAAGATTGCCAAAGCTTGAATGCAGCTTTATTTGTATACCGGTGGTTTATTTCTATGACTCTTTAAAAAAAATGAAGCTATTTACCTTTTCATTTTCCAAGAGACAATCACTTTTGCAAAATTTTAGGGATATAACTCTCCTTCATTTCTAATTTACTGCATGGTTTGCAACAAACTAAAAACCTGCTTACTTGTATTATTGATTTTGCCAAATTAGTATTCTGTTTTTGCTTTCATAAATCTTCTCAACTTTCATTGTACTCGTGGGGAGAAAGGCCCAATTAGAATGGTCCACCCACAGAGGCTACTGGATCCAACTGGTTTCCAAGATGCATTGAGTGGGTTTCCGGATGAGCTGGTTGGCATGAGTGTCGAAGCCCAGGGTGCAGAATGGTCTTCAGCTGTGACCAGGGCAGTTGACTCCATTGTGCCTTCTCTGTGTCAGGGTTCACTCCTCCCTCTGGTTTTCGGAGGAGCTGCGAGGCATGAAACAAGTTAGGAGAAGGCTGAAGAGCATTTGGAGAAAAGCTCCCATGGATGCTAATCAGGCTGTGGTAAAAAAGATGTCTGGCAAATACTGTAATGCCATAAAGGCCATTAAGAAGGCTTATAACATCAGACATATCAGTGAGGCAGCTAACCATTAGGCTGAACTCTTGTGTTCCGCAACCTCACTAGAACCAGACGACATTATATCAGTGAGGCAGCTAACCATTAGGCTAAACTCTTGTGTTCCGCAACCTCACTAGAGCCAGACGACATTTGGGGCCTCATCCAGATGTCACTACTTGTGAACACTAAGATTGAAGCCATCTGTAGGGATCTTGGCTCTTAAAATCGGCCACGGCGGTGATGGTTGCATGGGCCACTCAGATTGTGAACTCCTCCTTTAGTTAGTTAGGCATCCTTCAGTCTCGAAAGACTATGGTAACGTGCTCTGTATGGAGGACTTGGAACAGCGTCTAGTGTGGCTGAGGAGACCGATTTGAGAATGGCAATCTCTTCCACACTGAAGACAAATCCAATCTGTCCCCTGTCCAGCTCCCTGATTTTGCTGCTTTTGTGACTTCCTCTTTGTCTTGGCCTGCTGGACAAGGGTCTCTTACAGGAGGGATATTTGCCCCCTGTCTTGAACGAGACAATGATCTGGTCCATTCTGAAAAAAGTTAAATTGTCAACCGATTATTTAAACAAGGGTACATTGGACAAAAGGCCTGTTAACATGTGGCTTAAGCTGGCCTACAGATATATACGTAGTTTATGGACTTCTGCACAATGGAATGAGCAGAAAAGACATATGTGATCGCTATGACAAGGCTCTGACTCAGCTTGAAGACAATGGAACCGTAGGGGCCAAGCTACAAGGTTGGGTGCTTTCAATAAATCCAAGGCTAGAGTATACCATAGTAAGATGCTACAATCATGTCATAAGCCGCAGGACAAAGAGATGATTTAGTCTCCTGGAAGTAAGGAAGGTAGTGCAATGCATGCTTGCTCCTAGTTTGCCATCTACTGATACAGAATTAAATTTCAGGTGAAGGTAAAGATATCAGTCAGAAGGTAGAAAAATTAGGGGTGTCAGAGGAACAAAAAGCAATCACTGCTTGGGAGAAGAAGATTCAGAGTCACACTCACAAGTTTTCAGTTCACTTTTTCACATCTAATTTTTACTTTTGTAGATGTTAACTGCTTTGGGGTCTTTGGGTCATAGTTTGCCTTGATTCTGAGAGAAGCCTCACTTTTTGCAATGGTTTAGCCTGCTGCTGAGAAATTGTACATCTACCTTAGAGTGTTTTATTTATTCCTCTCTTTCTCTCTCATACAGACACACACACAAACACACTCACTATTTCACTAGATTTTTCCTTCTGATTTTTTTCCACTGCAACTCCCCTCAATCAATTATCCCACATATTCCCCTGAATCTTCAGGTAGCTGTTACCTTCTTTCACAATCTTTAAACCAAAAACAGCTAGGCCTAGAGGGCTAGTGGAAGATTAGAGGAAAATGCAGTGTTTTATGAATAATTAACTGTGGCTTATTTTGAATAACTATAATTTTGGTTGTTGTGGGTTGTCAACAGAGCATGGACAGAGTTCCTACTCCAGTCCTCCGAAGATGCTGGCCACAGGGACTGGCGAAACGTCAGGAAGAACCACCTTCACAACACGGCCAAAGAGCCTGAAAAACCCACAACAACCAGCAGATCCCAGCCATGAAAGCCTTCGAGAAAACTATAATTTTATCTGACACTTTAATCCAGATTGTTTGGCTTTACACTTTTCATTTCATCATTTTATTGTACTACATTAGAAATTAATTATTTTTCCTCTGATTTCTTTTATATTTTGCCTACGTTCCTGTTTATCTGCTGTGATTTAAATAAATTTTCAAATTAATTGCTCCTGTGAATAGCCTCAGATAATCACTGGAGACACATTTCATGCTCTGGGGCAAATAAAGGACTCCACTTTATAAGGAATGCATATTAACGATTTGTGTTTTCAAGTGTGATATCTAACAAACTGTTCAATTAAGCCATGTTTCTCTCCATCCCCTCTACTCCTAGACGTTTCGTTTAGTTGTTTAGTCGTGTCCGACTCTTCGTGACCCCATGGACCAGAGCACGCCAGGCCCTCCTATCTTCCACTGCCTCCAGGAGTTGTGTCAAATTCATGTTGGTTGCTTCGCAGACACTGTCCAGCCATCTCATCCTTGGTCGTCCCCTTCTCCTCTTGCCGTCACACTTTCCTAACATCAAGGTTTTTTCCAAGGAGTCTTTTCTTCTCATGAGATGGCCAAAGTACTGGAGCCTCAGCTTCAGGATCTGTCCTTCCAGTGAGCACTCAAGCTTGATTTCCTTTAGAATGGATAAGTTTGTTCTCCTTGCAGTCAAGGGGATTCAGAAGAGCCTCCTCCAGCACCACAGTTCAAAGGCATCAATTCTTCGGCGGTCAGCTTTCTTTATGGTCCAGCTCTCACTTCCATACATCACAACAGGAAAAACCATAGCTTTGACTATTCGGACTTTTGTTGGCAAGGTGATGTCTCTCCTTTTTAAGATGCTGTTAAGATTTGTCATCGCTTTCCTCCCAAGAAGCAGGCGTTTTTTAATTTCGCGGCTGCTGTCTCCATCTGCAGTGATCATGGAGCCGAGGAAAATTAAATCTGTCACTGCCTCCATGTCTTCCCCTTCTATTTCTATTTCATGGGCACTCTGACCTGTCTGCAGCTGCGCAATTCCATACATAGCAAACTGTGATACGCTGTTGTATTCTGACACCTTTCTGTTATGGCCAGCATTAAATTTTTCAGCAGTTTGATCTACAGTAGCTGTTCTATGTGACTGGACCAGATGGGCTAGCTTTCACTCCCCACATAGTACACCAATGAGCCACAGGTATCCACAACCCTTCACTGATTGTTCTTCCTTGTACCACTTTTGGTAGGTACTAACCACTGCATACCAGAAACACATTACAAGTTTTGCTGTTTTGGAGATGCTCTGACCCAGTTGACTAGCCATCACTATTTGGCCCTTGTGAAAGCCATGTCAATCTTTTTGCTTGCCCATGTTTCCTGCTTCCAACACATGAAATTCAAGAACTGACTGCTCACTTGCTGCCTAATATATCTCACCCCTTGACAGGTGCCCTTTTATCAATGTAATCAATCTTGTTTTTGCTTAATACAACTCTGCAATCCATCCTGAGATCCTATGATAGAACAAGCTATAAATGCTTTAAATAAATAAATAAATAACTACCCTGCCACATCAAGGTGAGCCCCCACCTTGGACTATGGAATGCCCCTGTAGCAATTTGAATTGCACACTGGTCATTGTGTTGATCACTGCTAAATCACAACAATGGAATGTATATCTCATTCAGTTATCGGTACCTAACTAATTCCAAAGACATCTGTTGGCTCTGTGGAAAAAAATTCATGTTTCACTCAAATTCATCTTGACATTTATAGGGCAGTTAAAGAACAGATTGATGTTCTCATTTAAACTGATTTACCCTAGATATCTGATGGAAAAAATAAAAGGAAATAACAGAAATGCAGAAATATTTGGGCACTGAGCTAAACAAAACTACAGGATGTGTTCTTATTTTTTTCAAAATGGAACACTGCAACATGTTCTGTGGAAAACGTTTGCTGAGCAAAATTGCTTAGTCTATCAATGATGTCATGAGAACTGAATTAACCAGCAAATACATTTAGAAAGTCCCCGGAAGCATCATTGCATTTATCATACCATTTTCAAGTAAAATGCTACCACATTGCAAGAATGGTAACCTCAGAATTGCCATACAGATGATCATGCAAAGAAAAAGAGAACGTGATGATGATTAACTTCATTTATACTTTCTACAGTGAATCATATTATTGTTTTGTTTTTAGTGGCATGCAGAGAAACGATGAATCACCTACTTCAGAAGCATTTCCCATTGTACTTTTATGATTGGTAATAGCCAAGACAAAAGGCATAAGGCTCTTTTTAAAAAGAAAATAAACCATTTCAAATTATTCTCCCTTGAGGACTCATTTCACACCCATCATTTCTTTATCCTTCTGAAACTAAACTGCATTAAATTATTACAGGATTATTTAACTGCAATTCATTGAAAGAAGTTATTTTCATTAGTAGGGTTTAACAGGTTGAACTGTATCTAACCCAGTGATGACTAAGCTGTTGAAAAAAGCATTTCTTAGTTTAAGGTGGGTGGGGAAAATCTATGTGTGAGGATTTTAAGAATTTAAGATAGCTGAGTAGCAAGTGACAAAAAGGGAAGACTTGTGAGGACTGAGATCAGTTGCCTGGTCAGCAATTCTGATGAAAGCAATTTAAGTTTCAAGCATACAAGTTGTTGCACCAGTATGTTTCTAAATAACATGACAGGAAAATATATGCTGTTATCAGATAAGGGACACATCAGTTCCTTCAAGATTATGATGATGAAGACAACAACAACAACAACAAAAAACTTCACAGTTATGATGATGAAGACAACAACAACAACAAAAAACTTCACAACAGAAGCAGTGGTAGTAACTCCACAGCATGCTGTGGAGAAATTGCTCCTCACATACTCCATGCGCAGTGACACCTGCCTGCTGAGTATTGGCTGATATCCACTCTACCCCTGTTCCAGGACTAGGCAAATGCACAATTATCTCTCAGGCTTTGCAGCTAATCCAAATTTTGAACAGGCCATGTTGCTTTCATTCTACACTGTGTTGTCATGGATCACTATTATAACACTGCTGTTTTGCTTTGTTTTTTATTGAGTCCTCTGTATTTTTTAGAGATTGCAAGTTGTGGTGGGAATGCCAATGTGGCACAGCAGGTGCAGGGTGTATATATTACTGGAATAAAAATCTAAGTGGATGTGTGCAATAGGGCAATAAGGTGGATGCTCAATCCTGTCACTTTTAGGCTAAGTTGCAGTTACACACGATCAATATCCATCCTTTTACTTAACAGGCTGGATCCTTGAGAACTCTTATGCATTGCTATTTATGGAATGTGATTTGCAGCTTCCTCCTGCAACCACTTGTACCATCCAATGCCCTGCCCCATCACAGGATAGTTGTGGTACCCAGAGATGCAATGAGTAGTGTGGATTGGAAAAATCAAAACAAGATTTAACCTGGGATAGTTGTGGTACCCAGAGATGCAATGAATAGTGTGGATTGGAAAAATCAAAACATCTCCATTTACACGGTCAACCCATAGGATCCAACTAAACATTAGTATTATAATATATGGCATCTACAAGAAAATGTTCTAATATATCCTCACATAGCAGTCTTTTTAAGGAGAAAGGAGGGGTAAAATATTTAAAATTTAAAAATAAGTAAGAGCAGGATTTCCACCAGCTAGTCATGCTTTCTTTCAGGATAAGGATGTTGAATAGACCATTCCACTTCTCCTTCCTCCAACTGATTTTCTGGTACATTAAACATCCTGTAGCTTCTAAGCACAGCAACAACATTAGGGTCTTTCAGAAACTGTTGAGAACTTTAGTATTCACCTGAGCCTCTTACTCTAATTGATCCAGCAGTTTTTATTGTTTCATATTGTATCTTTGATGGGCTTTCTTAAAGCTAACCAGGAAACTTGTGTTATTGGGATTGCTGTATACTGACAGCCAAATAATGGCATTCTAATTAAACTGGGGCTTTTTTTTTGTTGGTGTAAAGAGGGATCAATATGGATGATGTTTGTGGAGTTTTTTTTTAAGTTTTGGCACTTCTACAAACTACAGGTATCTCAAGCAGGTTTAGATCTAATTCTTCTCTCCAGTGCCACTGATTCTGCTCCTACTACCTGACTTTGTTAGTATAGTTTATATCCTGCTCTCAGGAAAATTGGTTTTGATACCAAAACAGTATCAAACTGATAAACTGATAAGTGACCTGATCAAGATCACCAGTGAACCCTCACTTTATCAATTTTTAGGACAATACAGAAATTTTCTAATACACACTTCACCACTGAAACAGCTATTTAAACTATGAAAAATGGAAAACTCTGCAGCTTGGATGGTTTTTCTGCTGAATTGTATGAAACATATTCACAGATTTTGCACCTAGACTTGTTTGTTTGTATGAAAAATGTTCTGAAGCAGATGCTTCCCCAGGTTCTCTTTTTGGAATCTATTTCTGTTGTTCCCAAACCAGGTACAGATCATACTATTATTTATTTTATTTTATTGGTTTTATTTATAGGTTGCCTTTCTCCCAATAAGGGGACCTAAGATGGCTCACAATATTAAAAGGAATAAAATTAAACACATGATAAGTTAAGCATTAAAAAACAAATAAAGAATTTTCAAGTTAAAATACAATTGTTTAATCAAAGGCAAGAAAACATTCAAAACTATATTAACTCTTAAAAAGGCACGTAATGATGATTGTTAAAAGCCTGCCTCAAGAGATAGATTTTCAGTTATCGGGAGAAGGATAAATGGGAGGAGGCCAACCTGATCTCCCAAGGAAGAGTATTCCATAATCTGAGAGCTGGCACAGAGAAGAATCTCTCCTGTGTGTACAAACTATAGCACCATTTTCTTGCTCAAAATTGATGTTAAAATACTTGCTGCAAACTGGCTAACAGACTCCAAAAGATTCATAGCTACATTAATCTACCCAGACCAAGCTGGTTTTCGACATTCATAATCATAAAAACATTTAAACAATAATATAGTATGGTCAAGATGGGGAATGCAAGAACAGAAAGATAGAATTCAAGAACTGACAGGAGGGAAAGCCTGCCTGAAGACCCAAGTTTTTAATTGACTCTTAAAAACACAGAGCGATCTACCATAGCCAGGGAGAAGATATCTTAATATTGGTTAAAAATTTAATTGCACTGGCTGAAATCCTGTTGTTACACATGCAGAAGTCCAATGACATAACATTCAGTTGCTTCTGGCTGGCAGTTAATGACTCTCTGCTGGGATTCCCATGCAAACATAAAGCCAGCAGGTATGCATACCCCCTAAAATCCCAGTGGTAATTCAATAATTAGCAGGTAGAAGCAACTGAATGTTACACTGCTTGCCTTTTGCATGTGCAACAAAACAACAGGATTTCAGCCACTAACTACTAAAATAAGTGATTTTTCTGCTTTTTATGATGCCAAGAAAGGATTTGAAAAAAATTAACTGGTGGTATAATCTTTGCAGCTTTGAATGAGTTTCATTTTCTGCCTGAATTCTTGAATTTGTTTGAATATTTTACCTTTCTTCTAAGTTGAGAGTGATTACATATGGCATATTTTCTAATTTTTCCCCTCTCTCCTTGAGGGATGCCCTTTATCTCCTCTAATACTGAATGTATAGAGTCACTGGCATGTACAATAAGACAAAATTCCAGGATTTGTATGTATGTGGAAAATGCAAATACAAGATATCACACTGACTTTCAATTGCACTTTCCGAGAGAGTGAGGTAACAACTATAATTTATAATTATCTACTTATGTTAATCAAATGAGAATAAGGTACAGCCAAGAAACAACAATCTAGTACAAATTAAACAGTGGTAATCCACCTTAGTTTCAACACACAAAATCTCTTTAAGATTTGAAACTCTGCTTAGTTCAGCAAAAAATAAGGTATCAGACATACTGGATATTTTGTTTATGTGGAAATAAATGAGCCCCCAGGGGACAGCTATCATCTCAGTCTGAACAACCTCACAGGGTTGTTATCAAGTTAAGACAGGGTAGAGGAGTGGGGAGATAACCACATTTGCTGTCCTCTTTTCATCTAAAGAAAAGAATGGGATAAAGAGATCATTAAAGAAACATGGAAAGTTTACTACACTTCTCTTCAATGTATCAAGCTTTCATGTGAAATGGAATTATGACATAAAACACTTTCACATTAGCAATTCCTCATTTGAAACAGTTCCAAAGAATTCTTTAACATTTTAGATTGTTTGTTTGAGCCAACCTTCAGGTGGTTCAGACCCCAGTGATTCAGACTCAGTGACATTCATAAGATGATAAACTTTGCAGTTACCCGTTTCTATATTGTACATTCCCCTATATATTTAGGAAATTCTTAACTATGTGTTAGATAGGAGTACACAATGAGCAAATCAGATTTTGAGTGAGAAGTTGTGATAAAATTTGAGCTGTTAGTGTGGAAATTTGTTTGCCATATTAAGACAGGGAAAGCGTCCATGAGCAGCAGTGGAAGCACACAGCATCTTTATTTATTTATGTGTGTCTTATATTGTAGCATTTGACTCATACTGAAAATTGGAATTCACCCTCTCACTTTTTTCCTGTCATGCGAATGGGACATATTTTCATTCAATTCATAAATCCCTGCTCCTACGCACAACCTCTCTCACCTATACGCATCTTGCCAGTGGAAAAGAAAAATAGGGGTTACTCATTAATCCATGAAATAAAGCTTTCCAAACTGAAATACAGTATGTGGTTTTCTTATCTCTCCATAAAGTCTTAATAAAAAGGTAGGTATAATGGACCTGAGAACATTAATCTCACTCTTCAGAGAGCAGTTATTATCTATCTTTAATTTAAAACTCCTAAAACATGGAAAAGCTGCTATTCTGTTGTCTGCTTTCTATTTGCTCTATCAGCTTAGGAAGGATGTCACCTATAGTGTTCGAGGAGCTTTTTAAAACTGTAGGACACTTGAATGAAATAGCAAAAATGGTAAGTACATTGTCCTTGACAGTCTAAATAAATGATGAAATCATTCTCAGTATTTGCTATGAAAAATATTCTTTCTACTGTAGTTATTGAAAATGTATATCAAGTATAAAATTTATCTATTTTTGTATTTCTGTAGGATACTAACAAGCTACATTCACCACAAGGAGCTTTTCAGGTAAGACTGTCACAGCAGTGTTTCTGAATGTAACAAACATTTTATTTTTCCTTTTCAAAAACTGGTTATTGTTAGCATGTCTAGAAGACTTTGAGTAATACATATTGCAATGTATAAAATAGGTATGTAACAGCTACTTGCAATATGTATTGCTTTTACAGGGTTGCCCTTTTGCCAGATAAACTGGCCTGGTAGAAACTGCCAGAAAATTTATTTATTTATTTATTTATTTATTTATTTATTTATTTATTTATTTATTTATTTGTTTATTTATTTATTTATTTATTTATTTATTTATTTATATCCCGCCCATC